AGCATTTTAAAACAAATAAAATAATATCATATTATTATTTATTACAAGAAACAGCTCAATGATAAAAACAGATAATTCTAATCACAGAAAAAGGAAGGGTTCTAAGACTCCTAAAAGAAGAACACCTGGTCAAAATTCTAGGCGTCCTTATTTTAATGTTACCTATAAAATATGCATAAAACATTTTAAGATGTTTATTACCATGATTTCATTTCAAAATCAATCTATGTATGCCTACAGAAATTTACATTTTCAAATAGAAGTGAATTACAGCTAATGATAATGAAGATGCCTATAATTACCAGATTTGAAAGACTAGGACATTATCTATATATTCAAATGTCAATTTCAGAATATAAAGTACTTTAAGTCTGAAAACATACATGAAATTATTATATTTGTTAAACAATATATGTGTAAGAGCTATATACATATCTACCATAAAAGCACAATGAATGTTGAGAAACGAACACATGAAAAAATAATTAAGACACTTAAAAGTTCAACAGGAATTAAATACATGATTAAAGGGGAAAATATCTTCAATAAAATATATAATACTTGAACAAACATTAATAAAGCAAAAATATTCTTTTGTTTCCAGCATTTTACCACTACTAACAAAAAAAAAAAACATGTACTTGCCTAATAAAACCTTGGCATCATCTACATCAAAATCTCCATCACCATCAGCGTCATAGACTCCTAGTTTTCCTACAAGAGGGAGGAATGGTAGAGATGGGAATAAAAGGGAAAACCAATTTAATAAAGCATTATCTCTGATTGCAGTCCTGTCCTTCAGTCATAAATGTTACCAACTGATACAATTCTCCACTTTTTTAATCCTCCAAATCCTCCAAAGATATGCCAAATGCATATCTTACCTAAAAATGGTGAACAATTCGCTTAAGAGATTCAGGAAATGTTCACCTAAGAATGTTCACAAATTCTAAGAAATAAAACTTACATAATATTTTCTTTAAAGGTTTAACAATACCCTGATCTAATCACTTCAGCATACACTTTTTATTAAGCTGCTAAAAACATTTAAGGTAAAGTTTTTAACATATAAGAAATAATATTGATGCATTTCTAACAGTTATATGAAACTTAATGTTTCTAAAGTATGAAATTTCATCACACTGTTAATATTAACAGCAAAAGAAATAATCAACCAAGCCTCAAAGACTACATGCAAATAATTTAACATAGAATCTAAGTTGTAAAGGACAGTAATTTTACATCTTACAATAATGATTAACAATAGAAATACCATAAAGCAACCTTTAAAAATAAAGACCTTCCTGGAAAAGTAAAACTGGAAGCTTCCTAAAGTTACAAAGGAAAACTTAGGGTTCTTCTCCTTAAAAACTGAATTAGCACTGGCCATCTATTATTAATGGGAAAAAAAGCTTAAAACAGATATGCTAAGAAGATAATACTCCAAGGCCTTACTTCCTAAAGAATAGTAAGCATATATTTTAAGGATTTAATGCTTTATCATGAAAAGCACTGCTGTGTTTAGCATCTCAAATAGTTAAATAACATTCA